CCATCTCTTCCTGCATTTGCTGGTTGGCATTGTATGAGAAGGGGGAGCTTTCTCTTCTCCCTTATTTATGTTTTTGCTCACGTCTTTATATGAACTCTTGGATTATTACATTTCTCGATGGGTTGTAATCCATGAGTCTCCATATTTTTTATGCCAAATTATTCCCAGATTTGGATTTGGCCAGTGGTAGGCTCTTTGATGTGCTTCTTGTGTCCCTTTGACATGACCCCTCTCAGCAGACAGAGCTGGGAAGTAGATATCTGCACGGACACACACCTGCACTCCCCTCTACGTCTAGCCCTGTGCTTCTCTGATACCTCTGACTGCACCCCAGCCCCGAGCGCTCTCGGGAGCTGACTCAGCTTTCGTGTGAGCAAATCCTCCTTTGCTGAGAGAACCTGGCTCCCATTATCCTCGATGTGTTGCTTTTCTGCTGATCTCCCTGCAGGTAATGATTTCCCTAAGACTCCGTCCGTCCCTGCCACTGCGGAGCCTGTCCCTTCTCCGGTGCTCCTGCCTTGCCTTGCCCAAGGGGAGGGAGGGAGGGAAAGCCAAGCTGGTGGCTTTCTACCCCAACCGTCAGGGAAAGGAAGGGAGAAGCTTTTTTTTCCCTCCCTGGACACAGCCCTTGCACACAGCTGCCTGCTGAAGCACCTGGCTTGGTTCCCTCCCCCGGGGCCTTCTCAGCTCGCCTGAGCCTGAAAGAGGCCCGTTTTCCTATGAGAGTTTGTTCTTCTATTACCACCCTTCACAGTTCTCCTCGCTTTAGACTTTGAACTTGCCCTGTTCTTGATTAGTCGGCCCTGGAATGTGAGATCCACATTTAAAAAAAAAAATCTTACTGAGGTATGATCGACATATAAAAAGCTGTACATACTTCATTTTTATAACTTAAAGTGAGTTTGGGGATAAGTATATACCTGTGAGACCATCACCACAATCAAAGCCATAATACATGCATCACCTCCCAAAGTTTCCTCCTGCCTATCTATTATTATTGTTGTTATTATCATTGCTTTTGATCCTGTTCAGTTCACCCTGGGGCCAGCCAGGAGCTCTTCCTGCGGCCTGGGTCCTGCGTGTAGCACTGAAAGTGTCGGCCTTTTTGCCTGGAATGTGAATGTCTCTCTCCTAGAAGCAGAACCCTGTCTGCCTGCTCTCCAAGGGGGTGACTCATAGCCCCCTGGGGAAGCACTGGATACCAGCTTCCACCTTGACATTCCAGTGGAAAATCAACCCTTCGCTGGCCTGCCTAAATTTATAGTGGGCTGGCCCCAGCAGCTGGTGGCAGCAGCTGGGGGTGAGGTCTCTGACAGATTCCTTTTTCCCCTCTGAAAAATATTTCAGTCTCTCTAGTCCCAGCACCAGCACTGGTAGCATTTAGAAGCCATTTATAGCCTGTTCCAGTTGGTCTGTGGAGAGCTGTTTTATGAGTCCCTCCAAGTACCCAGCAGTCAGCTCTCTCTAGTCCTTGGGCCTGGAGCTTAACCAGATCCCCAGGAAGGAAGACAGGAAGGCCCCAGACTGATGGTACAATATGAATTTCACGTGGTTCAATCTGCCATGTCTGTATATACACACATCCATGTTTATTTTAAAGTTGTGATAATTACGCTGTATGGGAGGTTTATAAACCTTTATCAGAGCTCATTAATTCTTGACTTACACACTGTTCTACCACCTCAGCCATGTCAGCCCGTGGCACATTCGCAGCAGAGAACAGGAAGGCAATGTGACAGTCACATGGGCTGGTAAGCAGGAGCCTGGCTGCCAGCCTCTGGGGGAGGGGCCGGACTGGCTCAGAAGCGTCCTCGGTGGCCGTGTGTCCAGCACCCTGACTTGCCCAGATGGGTGAGTCACCTGGCTGAGACCCTAAGGTGAGGCTGCTCCAGCACCCCAGCCTCTTGACTTGATATGTAATTAATTGTCTTTTTGGTGCCGTAGCATCCTTCCTCCCTCACATCCCAGTCGCTCAAGATGCTGATCACATGTCATGGAGAACATTTTGATTATGTCCACAGATTCTTCATTCAAAAAGTCAGGGACATGTCCAATACGCTTTGAAAAATAATTCCATCCCAAAGAGCTCAAATAAATATGCCATCCCATAGAGTAGGCAGGCAGGTGTCTGTTACCTGAAAAACCCTCCCCCGGGACCTTCCTTGTCCCTGCTGGTCCCTGATGAGTGAGGCGTGGCTGATGAGCCTGGGCCCGCACACAGAAAGTCTGAACCAGAGGCGGGGAGACGGTGTTTCTCCCGACTGTCCCATCTCTTAGACACTCACTGAGTTGTGAACTGAAGTGGTTCCCTGGCACTTCGGATTTTCCTTACATGTGTTTTCTTATTTATGTTGCTTATAAAACTGGTACATGTTCAACAGAAAACTAGAAAATAGAGATAAATACAATGAAGGAGGAAAAAACACTCATTTTACTCCATGAACATTCTGGCGTATGTCCTTCCATGTTGCCAGGTATTCTTCACTCTGTTGCTCTCCTTCTGAGTGTGTTTATACACACATATATACATGCATACAGACGTATCAGTCACTCATGCACAGGAAACCTGGGTAATGGCACCAATGGTTTTTAAACCTATTTTTAAGTTCATAACAGACACATTTACCTCTAGATATATGGAGATCTACCTTATTATTTTTTAAACAGCTGTGAGTTCATTCTTTATGCCTTAATTTAATTAAATCTCTGCTACTATTGAATGTTTGGGTTGTCCAGTCTTTGTTTTTGTTTTGCTATTAGGGTCACAGCTGTGATTAGGCTCTTTGCTCACACCCTTAATAATGCCCTTAGAGTAAATTCTTGGAAGAATGACTGTGTCAGATGAAATGAGGTCTTTTATGGCTTTCAATGTGTGTTGCCAGAACTACTGGGTGATGTTTTTCCACTCAGGTTTTATGACTTTGGAAAGTTGATATTGCCTGTAGGTTAGGATTCTCTGACTCGTGATCCAGCAAAGACACCCAGGGTCCTTGCCATCCTCTCTCCTTCTCCCTTTTCCCCTCGCCCCTCCCCCCTCTTGCTGACTCCTCGGGGCGTGGTCTTAGGGCGGCAGGGTGGGGTCTGGGGGGTGTGGAGTGGGGGGTGGGAACTGTGGAGGAAGGAGGACTCAACAGAATTTCCAGGGGAATGCACAGTAAAGTGTGGCGAGTGCGCCTGCTAGTCCAGTGTGCGCCAGTCTAATCATATTTAGATCCTAGTTTGGGGAAATTCACTTGGGCCTCCCTGCCTCTCGTTCACCTGTGTCCTGCGTAGCTCTTTGTGGCTGAGCACGGGAAGCCTTGGGCTGGTTCTTCAGCGAACAGTCAAGTCCCAATACCCAGACCTGGCCTGGTGATCTGGCTCCCGCCCACCTCTCCCCTGCCTTGTTGTCTTTGTGTGTAGTCTAGCCACGAGGCCCTTTTTGCACTTCTCCAGAATGCCAAACTCCTTCCCGATTCAGCGCTTTCAAATATGTGGTTTCCCGTCCTTCAGCCTCTGAGACAGAGCCTAGTGTAATGGTTCAGGCTTGGGTGTGAGTCCTGGTTCTGCCTCTTATCCGCTGTGCAACTTTGGACAAGTTACTCAGCCTCTCTGGGCCTTGCTTTCCGTGTCTGTAAAATTGGGGTAATGACAGTACCCACCTCACAGGATTGTTGTAAGGATCAGCTAGGCTGTGGACTCACAGCCCCCAGCACACAGTGAGCATCAGGCAGCACTCGCTACGCGGAGCTGGCCGCCTGGCCTCCGCTTACTTTCCCCGATGCCCCTGTGGGCCAGGGCCTCCTGGCTGTGCTCTCACGGCCGCCAGTACCTTTCCTTCCGAGTGGTTACTACAATGGTTACCAAATAAACATACCTTTTAAAAAAATGTCTGACTCCTGCCCTGGCTGGTGTGGCTCAGTGGGTTGCGTGCCGACCTGTGAACCGAAATGTCACCAGTTTGATTCCCAGTCAGGACACACGTCTGAGTTGCGGGCTGGGTCTCCAGTCGGTGGTGTGTGGGAGGCAACCGATGGGTGTTTCTCTCCCTCTCTTTCTCCCTCCCTTCCCCTCTCTAAAAATAAATAAAATTTAAAATAAATAAAATTGGCTGACTCCCCTAAAACTAAGCTCCACGAGGGCAGGGACCACCTCGTCCTTGTTCCCAGCACGGAGATGGTGCCCAGGGACTATCTGCTCAAGGGGTGGAAATAACTGTCCCCCCTTTACTTATTGCTGAAGAGCCAAGTTGGTCGGAAAGCACGAAAGTCACAGCTCTCCCTACGAACTAACGAGACATTCCTGCTTATGGGGGGGCGGGGGAGGGTGGGTTCCTGCCGGAGGAGCTGACATGTGCGACAAGGGACAGGGTCCCGTGACCCGGGCCTCTCCGCACTCCAAAGGCAGCCAGCTCTTGGAGGCTACCTAGGGCTGCCCTTCTCAGTCGGTGAAGGGCCGTGTGCTTCTTTATTTCTGCCTTCGTGTAGAGCAGAACTTTTGAAACTGCAGTTAAACCTGGAGTGTTACTAGAAAGTGACGCAAAACGCAAAACCAGGATATCTCGACCGTGGCGCTGCTGGCATGTTGGGCCAGATAGTTTTCTGTTGTGGGGCTACCTTGTGCATTGTGGGGTGTTCAGTAGCATCCTTGGCTTCTTCCCTCTAGATGCCAGTAGCACCTGCCCTGCCAGCTGTGACAACCAGAGACTGCCTCCGGACTTGGCCAGACGTCCCCGGAGGCAAGATTTGCCTGCCCCTGGCTGAGAACGCAGACCAGGACCTGCACAACAGCCCTAACTTTGATTCCTCAGTCAGCGCACAGACACTTTCTCTATCAAATTGCGCTAAAGCTTTCCGACTCTTACTCCAGGGCTCTGTGCTGTCTCGTCACAGGGGGTGACAGACCCTCCGGGACCAGCACCTAGCCCTCCACTTACAGAAGGGGAAACGGAGGCCCCGCTTAGGGTCTACGTGAAACGTCAAAGAACATTTCTGAGTCTCTATGTTTTCTCCTCTCCCCAGCTCACCTGTAGCAAGTGATGTGACCCCGCAAGCTGCCCATGAAGACCTGGGAAAGCTGCTCTTCGCTGCCTCCTCCCACCATGGCGGGGACTTCGGCCAGGCCTCCACAGATCTGACGGCCCAGAGGTATGGTGGGGGCTGGGCCCACCCCCTCCTCCTCCCCCTCCCCTCTTCTCGCAAGTAGTGACGTCCTGGCACAAGGTCTGCACAGGGCCTTAGGAGGGATCTGAAAAGAGGCTAGGAAACCCCCTGACAAAGGCCATTTCAGAGATTTGTTCCCTTGAGGTCTTCAGGCACCTCTATTTACAACAGAAGTCCTCCAAGGGGGAGAGCGTGCTATTTATACCCTTTCAGGGAGTGACTTAGCTGTCTGCCTCTGGCCTGTTGGGCTCTAGCTGGTTCGCTGCCTGTTCTTTGTCTGGGTGGTGGTCAGAGAAGAGGAGCCAGCAGCACAGTCGAGGGGAGGGACAAGGTCCCCGTGCCCTTGTCTGGCTGTTGGACCTGGGGTGGGTGACTTCCCCGTCCTCACCTCCCACCAGTCTGCCCTCGCTCGCCCTGTATATACTTCAGCCCCAACACCCACTATGGTTCCCCACACGCGCTGGGAATAGCCTTGACTCAGGCCCCTCCCTCATGACCTCATCACTTCCCACAGGCCCCGCCTCCTAGTGTCTTCACCTTGGGGATTGTGACTCCCACTTGTGAGTTTTGGAGGGACAGAAACATCAGACCCCCGTGCCACCTGTGGATCCCCCTCCACTTCCTGGGGCAGGAGAGGCAGAGGGTGGAGAGGGGGAGGCAGGAGGGGAAGAAAACTGGGCCCCATAGAAGCAGGGCTAGAACTTTACATAAAAACATATACGTTTTAAAATTAACATTTTAAAAATATGTTTTAAGAAGAATTATCTAAAAAAGTGGGCCTGAGCATTTGCTTGAAGCCACTGCAGGGAGACACAGGGCGGGCCCTTTCTTCCTCCCCGCCTTTGCCTGCTAATTCTTCGGTGCTGTCTCCTGCCCTGAGAAGAGCTCTTCTTCCTGAACAGGGAAGCAGAGGGGAGGCACCCCCCGACCCCGGCCGCCCCATCTCAGAGGCAGTTGTCAGGCAGAAGGGAAGGGATTTTGACTGCCCTTCTCTTTCTTAAAGCCCCGGAGTACATCAAAGCTCACCCCCTCCTCAGGGGAGCCTGAAGCCACTTAAAGTGGCTGAGCTCCCATTTTGCTTGTCCTTGGACGGCACAGGAAACTGAGTCCAGACCTTTGAGAACATTCTGCAAAGGACTAGCTTGCCCGTGGGCGCTTGTATTCCCATCTGTTCAAAATTTTCAGGAACAATTTTCTAAAGCAGCAGAATTGTTTTCTAAATGGAACCTTCCAGCTGTGTCACCATGTATGAGACGTGGAACGGGGCACTCTGGTGATCTCCGGAACCTCTCCTGCTTTTCCCACGGTCGGGAACCCGGGCAGAGGGGCCTCTAAAGACCTGGCCAACTCCCGTGGACACAGCGGGAAAACGACCTACCCGCCTCTTGTCCGTGGGGCTCAGACTTTAGCAAATATCAGCGCAGCCTGGTTACAGCTCAGGTTGCCACCCACCCCGAGTCCCTGCCGCAGGGGCCCGGGGGGAGGCCCGGGGCTTTGTGCCTCCACCAAGGTGCCAGAAGCTGCTGCAGGCCTGGGGCCCCCTGGGGAACTGCAGTCTCACCCTCACCTGTCTGGCTGTGAATAGCTTCCCAGGATCAGGGACGCCTGCCGCCGCTGGTGGTGGAGTGTCTGGTCGCTGCCTTCTGCTCAGAGAGCCAGGGGCCCCTGCGGCTCCTTCTCAGCATCAGAGCCTCGCCAGAGAGTTTGCCGAGACTTTCAGAATTTTTCGCAGTTGAAAGCACTGCTTCATATTGACTTACAGCTTCTGTTTTTTCTCGTGGTCCAAGTCATGTGGTTTATTCTGGTTGCGTTATCTGGTTATCCTGTTCACACGGGAGTTTTCAGTCCATCCGCTGTGGGCATGCATGCGTGGGTTCAACTACCTCACAAAGGTGGCTGCACCTTTATTTGAACAAACACCTGCTAAACACTGCATAACACGGTGGTATTGTTTTTCTTAATTTAGATAAATGATCACCTAGAAGTCTTTTCCAAATAGCAGAATTCTTTTGTGCCATTTAAAAGAGGGTCATCAAACAGATGTGTTTAACCAGCACCCAGTGCACTGACTACATCGGGGTGCACCTCTGCTTTTGTTCAGAGTCTTTGACTTTTCCATGTCCTGCTGGCTATTTTGTTGAAGGACGTGAATCACCATATTGACAGTTTTCAAATATTGACAATTTCATATGGTTCACATTAGCACAGGATTTTGTTTACTTTTTTCATGGTTCGTAAACTGCTTTATCCATGTAGGTAGATTGTGACTTTCTGAATAGTTAAATCTTGACTGTCTGAGATCAGTTTCCTTTGTCATCTGTCTCCCCATCTCTGCACTCCCTGTAGCCAGGGCCCGTCAGGTGCGTCTTGTACCTGGAAAGAGGACCCAGGGTTCATTTGCAGGTGAGGGTGGTGGAAATTAATGACCTGGACCATCCAACCCAGATCAAAGCTTCCCATTCTGAACTGGGAATGGTGTTTATGACTTCTCCTTTAGTTAATATTTGCCTTCCTAATTCAGTTTCCCTTGGGCCAAGCTTAACAGTAATTTCTATCTTCTGAGCACAGACTCGCTCTGTCAGGGGAATGGAGTGAGAACACGCTGGGAAGGAACCGCCACGCCAGCTCAGGGTTAACCGTGCGCAGCCACCCACGGCTGGCCATCAGCGGGGTCTGGGGGCTGTTCTTGTCCCCACGTGGGCTGGGGTTCACATGCTCGTTTATCTTGCTGGCGACTCGAAATAGCTCAATGCGTCTGCCTTGGGGTTTCCAGCCAATTTGCAAGCCTCTCTGGGCACCATCTGACTTTGCCTTTGTTGCTGTTCAGTGGCTACGTCTCGGACGTGTGTGCTCTCTCTGCCAGCCAGACTTGTTTTATCAAATCCCAGGCTCTGCTGGGCTGACTGTCCAGTGCTCCGACGTACCAAGCTTAGCTCTCGAAACCAACAGTTTGAGAGCTCTTTCCTTCCCGTAGCTTGCGTCTCACTTTCCATCGGAGCTGCCTCTGGCCCCGGCTCTCGCCCTATTACGTGATTGTGTGCACTTGGGGATTTCAAGAAGAAAAAATCCAGAGGCCTGTGAGGGAGGCTATTGTGCTAATACCTTCCAGATGGTGATATGAAATGGGAGATAACACTCCGTCCGCCCATCTGGCCCGACAGGACCTGATATGTTCGGCCTGTGTCTTGGGGGCCCTTATCACCCTTCTGTGACAGCCAGGGTCTCTTTGGTGTGTGTCCTCAGACAAGGGCTTAATTTGGCAACTCTAGCTGACCTCTGAAATGAAATTTGCCATCAGTTCAGCGAGGGATCGGCCAAGAAGGACTCAAAAGCTCTGAACAGGGAATCAAACTACAGCAGCTGCTGGTAGCAACTCACTGCGGCTGGACTTGTCGGGCTGAGCAGGCCCTGAGGGGACATCCTTGAGTTTCTTCGGTCCTGTGTGGGTGGCCCCTGTGCCCAGAGGGTTAGCGGGGCCTTGGCAAGGTACTGAATTGGGGAAGGCACCCTCTGACCCATGGGCAGCGGTCCCCTAGGGATCCGTGCTGAGGATCCTGAGGTCATGGCCAGCTGGGCCTATGCAGAAAGAACGCTTAGATCAATAAGTCACGTCTGTCCACGAAAAGTGTGGTGGTTTGTCTGCCTTCTTTGTCAGCTCTTCTCTTAAAGGAAAATAAGTCTCGAATTAGATCATTTTCTTCATCTTCCAAAAATACAGATACTCTGTGTGAATTTAAATTCAGCTTTTTGTTATCCCAAAAAGGTGTGGAAGGCATTGGTTAACTCCTTAAATGGGAAAAGGGACCTGGACTTACAACTAGAAAGTCACCCTACCCTGCCCCCTGCCCAGTCTCCAGAGGAGGAGATCCAGGGAAAGAATCTAAGTGCCTTGCAGAGGTCAAAGGCAAACCGATGTGCAGACCCCCACCTCAGTGCTGTTCCTGTCTCCAGAACAGGAGTTCCCCGTGCGCTGGGAACGGTACTGGGTACCGGAAAGGGCCCAGCTCCCTCCCTGAGAATAATGTCTTGAAGGCGAGTCACTGCTACTCATTGGAGACTTGAGTGGAGACAGGAACTGCCCTTCTCTGCTTCTCGCCTCTCGCCTGTTCTGGCAACGTTGCCCTCTGGCAGCTCAGGGGGCTTAGAGGGAATCCGGGTAAGCCCCTGGTCAGGGCCTAGGGCCAGGGCTGGCTTCACGGGCATGGCCAGGTGGGCTTGGTTCAGTGCTCCGATGTTCCATCTTGAAATTCTAACACTTCCGGAACCGGGGGCTTACGCTTTCATTTGCGTTCATTTGCGTTCCATTTTGCCTCCAGATGATGTTGCTGGTTCTGTCTCAGAGGGTTGGACTCTGGGATTCCAAAGAGATAAGGCAGTTGTCCCACTGTTGGCGGCCTGCTGGTGGTATGTTCAGGAAGCCAGGGGTGGGAGGGAAGCTGTGTGCTGAGAGGTTTAGGCCAGGAGGGTGGCGACTCCAGTAGGAGAAAAGGACATATTAGCAAAAAACGGAAGCTCAGAGGTCAGGACCAGCGCAGCGTGGCAGAACAGGGTGGGCAAGGCTACCCTCCCTGGGTGGGGGCCTCCTTGTTTGGGTGGCCCCTCAGGATGATTGCAGGGTAGGCTGGGAGCGGGTCTGAGAGGTGGGCGGCCGTTCAGGGCAGGATCTGCTTGAGCAAAGACAGGCAAGAAACGGCCAGGAGGAGCTGCGGGGGGGAGGGCTGACTGGGTCGGTTGGAGGAGGGAGCGGAGGGAGAGGACAAAGCCGGGAGGGGACAGAGATGGGTTCTGCGAGCTGGAGCCTCGGGAGTTTCATCTGCCTTTGAACGGGGGATGAGGGGTTTGGGGGGGTTGTTGTTGGAGCGGCATTGTGTGGTGTTAGGCAAGGAAAGGACCTGATCAGAGCCCCAGTTGGGTCGTTGTGGTGTCTGAGGAGGTGAAGGTGCGGGGACCAAAGGGGAGGCAGGGTGCGCAGGAGTCCTGCTCTG